AATATTTATTTATTTATTATGTATACAATATTCTGTCTGTGTGTATGCGTGCAGGCCAGAAGAGGGCACCAGACCTCATTACAGATGGTTGTGAGCCACCATGTGGTTGCCGGGAATTGAACTCAGGACCTTTGGAAGAGCAGGCAATGCTCTTAACCACTGAGCCAACTCTCCAGCCCCCTTGCCTGGATATTTTATGTGTTTGTCTATATATGGGTGTGAGTTTGACATGTTTGTGATGTGTGTATGTGTGTCATACTCTGTCACTCTCTGCTGGACTTTTTTTAGGCAGGGTCTCTTTCTGAACCTACAACTGCATTTATTTGGAGGAGAGTGGGCTATCCTAGCAGCCAACAAGTCCCAGAGATGTTTCTGCTCTTCCCCTCCAGTGCTGGGGTTGCAAGTGTGTGCAGGATTGTGCACAGATTGCTTCATAGTTGCAGGCTTGAGCAGTTGGGACAATAAGAGAAAGGTGACAGTAAAATTTTACTTTGGACCACTATTTTGTTTCACTTTGGTTTTTTGTTGTTGTTGTTTTGTTTTGTTTTTTGTTTCTCGGAACAGGTATTCTCTTTGTAACAGCCCTGACTGTCATAGAACTTGCTTTGTAGACCAGACTGGCCTCGAACTCACAAAGATCCACCTGCCTCTGCCTCCCAGGTGCTGTGATTAAAGGCATGCACCACCCCCACCTGGCTGGACCACTATTTTCAAAATAGGAAAACCAGATAATTCTCAAAAATCCAGGAGCAGAATAATTGATTTATAAGTAGCTGTGACTGAAGTGCAGTGAGACTCTGAGACTTCAGACCCTCTAAGCAGGCTCAGTCATTGAGCAGTAGCTGGCCAGCTTCTTGCCACCTGCTTCTCCCTCTAATAGAAGGAAAGTTGCTAAGCTGCCCACAAGAAATTTTGGGGTTTTTTTTAGCCATATGAAAGGAAGGGAAACAATATTCCTAATGTAATATAGATCATACTAAATGTTGCCTAGTTGAAGTTACTAAGGAATCTTATCAATAGCTGATCATGGTGGTGCACATTTTGTATGTGTTATTGTTGTTTTAATTCATATTTATTTATTTATGTATTGGTTTTTCAAGACAGGGTTTCTCTGTAGCTTTGGAGCCTGTCCTGGAACTCAGAGACCTCCCTGCCTCTGCCTCCCAAGTGCTGGGATTAAAGGCATGGGTCATCACCGCCTGACCTTATCTGACCTTATCTATTTACATCCAGCCGCAGCCTCCCCCCATTCTCCCCCTCAGACCTTCTTCATCCCCCCCCTCCCACTCCCATTGCCCTCTTCTTTCATCTCTAGGAAAGCACAAGGCTCCCAGGAGAATTAATAAAACATGGCATATCAAGTTTCAGTAAGGCTAAGCACCGCCCCATATGTTAAGAATGGGCAAGGCAACCTAGTATGAGAAGGGTCCCGAAAGCCAGTAAGAGTTGGAGACAGCACCTGTTACCACTGTTAGGAGTTCCATAAGACAACCAAGCTACACAACTGTAACATATATGCAGAGGGCCTAGGACATTCTCATGCAGGCTCCTCCCTGGTTGTCGTTTAAGTCTCTCTGAGCCCACTTCCCTAGTGCTGAGATTAAAGGCGTGAGCTTCCCATGTGCTGGGATTAAAAGTGTGAGCCTAGCTCTGTTTGTCTTGTAGCCCAGGGTGGCCTTGAACTCACAGAGGTGCACCTGCTTCTGTCTCCTGAGTAATGGGATTAAAGGTGTGTGTCACCACTGCCTGGCCTCTATGGTTAACTAGTGGCTAGCTCCACACTCTGATCTCCAGGTAAGCTTATTTGTTAGAGTACAAGCAAAATATCACAGAGATTTTCAGGTGTTTTGAGTTTCTGATTATATTTTGATTTTCATGTGGAAATTATTAGGATAGCCATTAAGCTGTGCCTCTGTGTATGTGTATGCATACTTTAATATTTACCAACTCTACATAGTTACCTTACTAATAATATTAATGATCTTATTGTTCTCTGTGCTTCCAGGTCCTGGCAAAACTCGCCTGTGGACTAAACAAGCCCAACCGCCAAACTCTGGTCTCTCATGGGTCAGTCCCACAGCTATTCAGCCAGATGCCAATTCGTAAAATGTAGGTATTCAGTTTCACCCTGTGAACGATCCCTGCTTGTAGTGGCTCTTGTGCCTCGTAGTGATTCAGTCTCAGAGAAAATAGGGACCAGTCAGAGAGCCAACACTGAAAAATTTATAAGCCACATTTAGGCCTTTTTTCTAAATGAATTTTCAATTTGTGGTAATCTGTGGTATATAATCCTGAATTTAAGGGCAAAAGAAAACTGCCAGGTGTAGTGGTGTACACCTTTAATCTTAGCATTCAAGAGACAGAGGCAGGAGGCTCTCTGAGTTAAGGTCAACCTGGTTTACATATCAAGTTCCAGGAGAGCAAGGACTATGTAAAAAAAAAAACCCTGTCTCAAAACAACAACAACAAAAGAACTGAAAGTTAGATTGCTGATATATGCCTGTAATCCCAGCACTGGAGGGGCGGGGATGGGCAGGAGCACCACTGAAGAACTCACAGCCACATAGTGAATACCTGGTCCCCCAGGGCTGCATAGCTGGACCCTCCCCAAATAAAACTAAGGGGGCTAGGAATATAGCTCACTGGGTAAGAGCACTTGTTGCCCAAGTATAAGGAGCAGAGTTCAGAATCCCTAGTACATTCATAAAAAGGCAGATGTGATTGCTTGTGCACTCCCTGTAACCTCAGTGAGGTGGAGGGAGGAGAGCGCCCTAAAGCCCCTAAACTGTAGGGGATGGAGATGGGCATTCCCAGGGCTTTGCTGGCTGCCACCCAGCCGCAGATACAGTGAAAGACCCTGTCTCAAGGAAATCATTCTGAGAATGACAACAGGACATTTAATATCCTGTAGCTTCCACGTGTGCACATATACTACACATTTCACACATACACACATACACCTGAGTTTTAGCTCTGTGCCTAACTTCCTTCTGGCTTTTTATTCAAGTGTATTAAATGTATAACAAAAATTTCACTTCTCTTGGGAGGGTGTTGAGATAAGGTCTCACTAAACAGTCTAGGCAGACCTCATTCTGGTGGTGTTCCTTCTGCCTCAGCCTCCTAAATGCTAGGATTATGGGTACAAGCTTCTATATCCAGCTGGAATTTTACTTTTCTCTACTATCAAATCGAGAGTTTATAAAATCTGCTTATTGAGACAGAGTTTCACTCTGTAGTCCAAGCTAGCCTGGAATTCACTATGCCACTCACTTAAAACTATGTAATTCCCCTGTTTCAGCTCACTGAATGTAATTACAGACAGAAGCCCCTTTACCTGGCTCAGTCAAGGTTTTCAGTTCTGTCAAATTGCTCTCCAATGAGGCTTGAAGATAAAACTGATCTGAGAAAGGTTTATGAACTGGAGGTGACATAGCAGCATGGAGACATTTAGCAGAAAGAAGGAAAGTGTAAGATGTTCTCAGTGAACCTAGGGAGACATGAAATAGTCCGCATTGCTGAAGACACTGAACCCGAAGGACTGAGGGTAGACCAAATACGGGTTGTAGGTCACTTCAAAGCCAGCTGGCTATGGAAAAGATTTGTTTTGGGTTTGGAACGTTTAGAGGGGTATTTTTTATTTGTTTGTTCGTTTGTTTTTCAAGACAGGGTTTCTCTGTGTAGTTCTAGCTGTCCTGAAACTCACTCTGTAGACTAGGCTGGCCTAGAACTCAGAGATCCCTGCTTGCCTCTGTATCCCCAATGCTGGAATTAAAGGCATGCACCACCTCTGCCGGGCTTGTTTGGTTGGGATTTTTTTCAAGACGGTCTTATTATGTAGCTCTGGTTGTCCTAGAACTTACTAGGGGGGCTGGAGAGATGGCTCAGCGGTTAAGAACATTGTCTGCTCTTCCAAAGGTTCTGAGTTCAATTCCCAGCAACCACATGGTGGCTCACAACCATCTGTAATGAGATCTGGTGCCCTCCTCTGGACTGTAGACATACACACAGACAGAATATTGTATACATAATAAATAAATAATTTAAAAAAAAAAAAAAAAGAACTTACTAGGTAGAGTAGGCTGACCTCAAAAATGTGCCACTACACCTGACTGGGTTTGGAATTTTAATCTCCAAACAGGTCAGACAGTAGGTTAAACACAACTGAAAATTTAATATACAAGACCATGAAAAAGTTTTGTGTATACTTGACTTGATAACAAATTAATGATAAATCTTTATTTATGCTCCTGTTAATCGTCCCAGCTCCCAGCTGGGAGGAGTCATCAGTTTTCTTCATTTGTTCTCTGTGTGCATGTGTGTGGGAGTACAGGTGCACTCACTGAGATGAGGGCTCCAGGGGCCAGACTCTAACCATCAGCACCTTTACTTGCTGAGCTCTCTAGCTCTTGGCTTTGTGTGTACACTAAGAGTCTGCCGAACGAAAACATTCTCTGATCTCTTAATCTTTGGGAGAGCTGCTTGGAGCAACAGAATGTTTTGGTTTTGGTTAACTGTGTATTTAAATGTGACCTAAAAATTCCTTCTCTTTATTGTTTAGCCGCAGTCTTGGAGGAAAACTCGGGGCTTCTGTCATTGAAATCCTTGGGATAGAATACATGGGTGAACTGACCCAGTTCACTGAAGCCCAGCTACAGAACCATTTTGGAGAGAAGAACGGGTAAGTAAGTGGTTTATAATATTTATTATTATTATTATTATTGTTTTGGTTTTTCAAGACTGGATTTCTCTGTGCAGCCCTGGCTGTTTTGGAACTCAGAGATAACCTGCCTCTGCCTCTTAAATGCTAGGATTAAAGGTGTATGCCACCACACTTACTTTTTTTTTTTTTTTTGATTTTATTTTTACTTTATGTGCATTGGTGTCTTGGCTGCATGTGTATCTGTGTGAGGGTGTCAGAACCCGTGGAACTGGAGTCAAAGAAAGTCTTGAGCTGCCATGTGGGTGCTGGGAATTGAACTTGGGTCCTCTGGAAGAGCATCCATCTCTTTAACCCCTGTTTATATTATTTTTCACACATAACCTTTATAGGGATATTAAATTCAATATAGATAAAAGCTTTTAATAGACAGGGTCAAATAGCCCAACCCAGATTTAAGCTTGGTATATAACCAAAGGGAGCATTGAAGTGCTGATCCTCTTGACTCTCTACCTTCCAAATTTTAGATAACAGACATGCACCAGGATACCCAGCCTGTATTTCATGAGGTCATTTCATGGTTTGGTCCTTTAGAATATTAGGTTCCAAAGCCAGGCGGTGGTGGCACAAACTTTTAATCCCAGTACTCGGGAGGCAGAGGCAGGTGATTTCTGTGAGTTTGAGGCCAGTCTGGTCTACAAGAGCTAGTAGTTCCAGGACAGGCTCCAAAGCTACAGAGAAACCCTGTCTCGAAAAAAATAAAATAAAGAAATACCGAATATTAGATTCCACCAGACATAGTAGACTGTTATCTTAGTGCTTGGGAGACAGAACCACAAATTCGAGATCAAAAAGAAAGGCTTGAGATAGGATTCATTGGCGGACACTTTTCTAACATGCTACAAGGCTTCTGGTTCTATCCCCAGCACTGAAAACATTCTAAAAGTAAAATAATTCGGTCTCTATGGCCAATCCCTCTAAAATAGCTTTGTCATATTCCTGGGTAGTTGATAGGAGTCGTTGATTTGAAGCCTGGATATGTACTCTTTACATGTTTGTTTTTGCAGTACTGGGAATTTAGTCCAGGGCCTTGCACATGCTAGACAAGCATCCTACTATGACTATTAACAGCTTTTCCCCTTTACTTTTAATTCAAGTCTTACCAAGTTGTCCAGGCAGGCTTTGAACATGTAATTCTTCTGCCTCAGATGCTCAAGTCACATGAATTCAAGATTTGCACAGCCAGGCTCGTCTTAATATATCATTTATGTTTGCTATTTTGCTGATGTTATACTCAAATCTTTGTGTTTCAGCCCTAGTAAGCACAAAAAGATGAATTGGTAGCTTATTAATTGGTACTTTGCAAAGAACGCAAATAGTTACTTGCTTTAGAAAGTAGGATTAGTTCTCCCCTTACCAGTGTCTTACATTAGAACTATCTAAGAAGGGTAAGAGCTCTGTCAGAACTTAGGTATGTTTTATTTTAGAGATAGTTTTCTTTCTTTGGTTCTTTCTTTCCTTTTTTGAGACAGGTGTTGACTGAGGTTTCTGTCCCACCTGGTCCCATAGCTGTTCAGTCCCAAAGAAGCACACAGAAGTCTACATTAATCATAAACTGGTTGGCCTATTAGCTCAGGCTTCTTATTGGCTCTTACATCTTATATTAGCCTATTATTTTTGTCTGTGTTAGCTACATGGCTTGGCATCAGCAAGGCATTCTCATCTTGCTTCCTCTCTCTATCTGAGTGACTGCAGACTAAACCTTTCCTCTTCCCAGAATTCTCGTCACCCTAACTCTACTTCCTGCCTGGTCACCCCACCTATACTTCCTGCCTGGCTACTGGCCAATCAGCGTTTCATTAAAATACAAGTGACAGGATACAGGCCATTGTCCCACAAAACTCCCACCCCCCCCTTTTTTTTTTTTTCAAAACTAGAACTCGGAATTGAATCTCCTTTGGTTAGCTTTTCTCCTGACCATTATCCATAACTTGTAACCAACATTCTAAACAAAGGCAAACATCCATAGTCCATTTTTTTGAATGTGGGCAGTTTTCCAGGCTACTTCCTGCTGATTGAGGGTGCTGATAATCTTATAGGGACCTAAAGAAGATTTAGAATTATGATCACGTCCTGACTGGAGTATTTAGTGAGGCTTGATCATCTCAGCTAGCAGTCTTGAAACTATTCTGGAAGCAGAACTCAGCGGAAACTCCAACAGAGGTCCTCTGAAATGTTGGATCATCTGGATTCTGCTCCTATTGGAAATTTCTCAGGTGGTCTTCCTTGATCAGACCTCATTTCTCTTAGCTCAGAATGAATCCACAGCCTCTCATTTCCTGTGGAAACAAAAGCAAAATCTCTTCTCCAAAGTAACTTACCTTTTGACTTAAATTTTGAAGTCAAGGCATTTTCAAAATACATATGTTGGATTACTCCAGCAGCATTAGTAATCAAATGTCTTTTAGCAGCTGTTGCTCCTTCCTTAGCAGTCATACAATTCAAAGACAACACAACAGTATCCAGATTCTCTGTGTATTTTTCATCTTTACGTGACTTTATTTTAAACTCTATTTTATTTTTACTTTTTGGCTTTTTGAAACAGGGTTTCTGTGTATCTTTGGCTGTCCTTGAACTCACTGAGATCTGCCTGCCTCTGCCTAGCAAGTGTTGGGATTAAAGGTGTGTGCCACCACACCCAACTACTCTCTTTCTTAAGGACTTTATTCTTTTTTTCTCTCCCAAGCCTACATATATTTTTTAACACACTCTAAACTGTTTAGAGTTTTTTTTGTCTGAATCTGTCTGTAATTACTGTATATCTCTCTTTTTCTGACCACATGAGTCTTTAATTTTCTAAGTGATAATGGCTAGCATTAAAGCTGTGGCTTTGAAGGCTGGATCCACCACATTCCTTACCTTTCTGAGAGTCTAGCTTCATAGCAGAGGTACTGGTGGGAGCCTTGTTTACTGCCACAACTCTATGGAGTTTCAAGGTCCCTGATATCACCAAGAAGCATGCTGTCAGCTATTCATAAACACCATTTAAGTGTTTGGTGGTGGGACCATTTAAAAGAGCTGCAAGGTTTTTGCAGCTAAAGCTGAATCAGGAAGCCTCTTTTAAATGAGACGTGCTTGCCTCTAACAAACAGAGCCTACCTGAGAAAATGCTGCTAAAAAGAAGCCATGCTTAACTCTGTTCTTTTATGTGTAGAATTACTTCCCAAACTCTCTCAGGTTTTACGTGGATATAGTTGTCCATGTTGGCACCATTCTGTTGACTGAGGTTTCTGTCCTGGCTGGTCCCATAGCCTTCAGTTTCAAAGAAACACACAGAGGTCTACATTAATCATAAACTGGTTGGCCTATTATCTCAGGCTTCTTAATTAATTCTTACATCTTATATTAGCCCATTATTCTTGTCTGTGTTAGCTTTATGGCTTGGTACATCAATGAGGCATTCTCATCTTGCTTCTTCTCTGGGTGACAACTGCAGACTGAACCTATCCTCTTCCCAGAATTCTTCTATTCTCATTTCCCTGCCTATACTTTCTGCCTGGCTACTGGCCAATCAGTGTTTTATTAAAATACAAATGACAGGATAAAGACCATTGTCCCACAGCAGACAGGGTCTCAAGTAACACAGGCCTTGAGCTCCTTGATCCTTTACCTCCACCTCACACAAACCACAGGACACACCTAGCTGTTAATTTTCTTTGTTTGTAGTGCTGGGGATTGAACCTAGTGCATTGTACATGTTAGCCATGTGGTGTACCCTTGAGCTATATTCCCTAGCCTCAGTCATTTGCCAGGAAGAGTATAAAAGGCTAATGTAGGTATTTTGTTTTAACAAGGGTGCTGGGGCAGGAGGATCATGAGCTGGAGGCCAGCCTGAGCTGCACAGTTAAATGCTGTTTATAAATAGGTAAAAAACAAGGCATGGTGGCTCTCACCTGTAACCCCAGTAGAATCACAATTTAAGGTCAGTTGACTACTGTGAGATCCTCTCTAGGAAGCAAAGAAAAAACAAGGAGAATGATCATGCTTTCATCTTAATGTTGTTTGCTGGTTTTATAGATCTTGGCTGTACGCCATGTGCCGAGGGATTGAACATGATCCAGTTAAACCCAGGCAGTTACCTAAAACTATTGGCTGTAGCAAGAACTTCCCAGGGAAAACAGCTTTGGCTACTCGGGAGCAGGTAAGCAAGCTTCTCAACAGAGTACTGCCTCTCTTTAAGGAGATAGTGGATCTTGGTAGCTGTGCAAAGTTACTGGGTTAGAGGATTACCTTTATTATAGGATAAGAAAATTATTTTATAAATTTTGATGAAATTTATTTTACCAAATGGAATAGGAATTGCTTTTTTTTAAAGTTGAAATAACTAGTTTGTCATTTTTTTCCCTCTTCAATCTAAAAAAGTATAAGATAGGACTGGCTGAAATGGCCAGTGGAGGAGTTTCTTGTCTTTTTCTGTAGGTAGGAACTTCAAAAACCTAAAATATTATGCTTCACTCAGTTTGAGTTCTTCCTTGGAATTGGAATTTACCAATTTTACAGTAGAATTTACCCGATGGCACCAGCAGGAAAAGTGAGGTGAAAGACTTGGAGCCTGAGCCTAGGAGGGCGCACCTGTAATCCCGGCACACAGGAAGCTGAATCAGTACACTAAGAGTTGGAGACCATTCTGGGTTGTAATAGCGACTAAACAAATTATGTGTTGCACATGTGTGTTGGTGTGTGTACCGTTACACGCATATGTAGACAGCAGAGGAAGCTCTCAGATGTCCTGTTCTATCACCCTGCCTTATTCTCTTGTTGAACCTGAAACTATGCTGGCAGCCAGCAAATCCCAGTGACCCTATTGTCTAGTTCCACTAGTCCTGAGTTATAATAGGTCCATATACAGCTATGCCCAACTTTGTGTTGTGGGTGCTGGGAATTCATATTCTTGTCTTCATTCTTGCACAGCATGTGCTCTTTTTCCTTTCCCCGTAATTTAAAACCATTCTCTTTTCTTGTTGTGGAGATAGGTTTTTGCTATATAACCCAGCCATGATCTCATGACCCTTCTGCCTCAACCTCTAGAGTCTGGACCTGACTGAAAATCTTCATCTAGAGGATGACAGAGTGTCGAGATCTTCCTGATCTAGTTATAGCGACAAATCCACTGTCTGCTTCCATATGTCTACTTAAATGAAAGATTAATTTCAGTTTGTTTGTTTGTTTGTTTTTTAGGTACAGTGGTGGCTCTTGCAGTTAGCCTTGGAACTTGAGGAGAGACTAACCAAAGACCGAAATGATGTAAGATTTTCTTGTCTATTAGTCTTTGGGATTTAAATGCCACATGCTCCTTACCCTGTGGAGAAGGAACAAGAAAATAGCATCAGCCTAGGAAATTTTAAGAAAGTTTGTGCACACTTTTAATTAAAGTGCACACCTTTAATCCCAGCACTAGGAAGGCAGAGGCAGGTGGATCTCTATGTTGGAGGCCAGCCTGGTCTACAGAGAGAGTTCCAGGAATCCAAGGCTACACAGAGAGACGATTTCCAAAAAAAAGTTTGTTAAAATAGTAGTCCAGGTAGGAAGGCAGAGGCATGGATCTTTGAGTTTGAGGCTAGCCTGGTCTAAAGAGTGAGTTTTCAGGACAGCCAGGACTACACAAAGAAACCCTGTCTTGAAAAACCAATATAAATATATTTTTATGGTACTCCAGGCTTAGCCTTAAACTGGCTAGTCCTCCTACCTTTAGGCTCTCAGTTTCTAGGATTATAGTCATGAGTTACCAAGCTTGGCTGAGAATTCTTTCTTTTAACACAGGACCATAAAACGGAACATCCTGGGGCTGGGTTGAGGGCACACCTTAGTTGGTAGAGTGTTTGCTTAGCATGCTTAAAGTTCTGAGTTTGACCCTAGCATCCCACAAATACCAGGGGTTAAGGTCATCCTGACAAAAAAGGTGTTAGAGCTCTGAGAGTTCCTCTCTCTTTTTAAGGATCTGTGTTTTGTTTTGAGATGGTTTCTCACTTGGCTGTGCTGGAATGCAGAGTGATCCACCTGCTTCTACCTCCCAAGTGCTAGGATGGGTATGGTCTACTCCCTGCCCCGATTATATATGCTTCATATACATAAAGTATATCCATCTAAGTGTACAATTTAATGGTTTTAGCACCTTCCAGAGTTGTATAACTCCAATCGGGGTTTTTTTTTGTTTGTTTGGTTTGGGTTTTTGGTTTTTTGGTTGTTGGTTTTTTTTGTTGTTGTTGTTGTTTTTTTTTTTTTGGTAGTGGTTTGTTTTGTTCTGCTTTGTTTTTGAGACAGGCACTCCCTGTGTATATACCTGGTTGGCCTGAATGTAACATTATATAGACTAGGCTGTCTTTGAACTAATAGATCTGTCTTCCTGCCTCTGCTTCCTGAATACTGGGACTACAGGTACATGCCACCACACCCAGATTTTCAGTCAGCTTAATATTTTTATTTACTCCCCAGAGAAATTCTGTACCCATTAGCAGTCACTCCCCATTTCTTCCCTCATCTGAAGTCCCTGGCATCCATGTAGTATGATTTTTGAGCCCAGAACAGTGGTGCACACCTTTCATCCCATCCCTGTATGAGAGGCTGAAGTCGAACTTCTGTGACCATTCCTTCAAAAAGAAAGAAGGAAGGAAGGAAGGAAGGAAGGAAGGAAAAAGTCCTGGACATTTCATATAACTGAAATCATGCAGCCCATGGCTGTTTTGGCAGTCTTGAAGAGTCTTTCACTTAGCTGACCCAGGTGATACTTTTTTTAGGACTGGGTAAGAGTTATCAGTAAATAGCTATTTGGGTTATTTCTACCTTATCATTCTACCATATCATGCTGTTATGAACTTTGCACATTTTCATCCTAGCGGCACAATTACTGGGTCACATGGTAATTATGTTTAACATTTTGAGAGATTTGGTGGCTGCTTTCTGTAGTGGCTTATCATTTTACATTCCTGCTAGCAATGTAAAGAGGAGCGATAAACATGTTATGGGAGGCCGCTTGTTTGTTCCTGGCTGCTCAGCCTTGAAATAACCACACAGAAACTGTATTAATTAAATCATGCTTGGGGGCTGGAGAGATGGCTCAGTGGTTAAGAGCATTGCCTGCTCTTCCAAAGGTCCTGAGTTCAATTCCCAGCAACCACGTGGTGGCTCACAACCATCTGTAATGAAGTCTGGTGCTCTCTTCTGGCCTGCAGGAATGCATGCAGACAGAATATTGTATAATAAATAAATAAATAAATAAGCTGGGCGATGGTGGCGCACGCCTTTAATCCCAGCACTTGGGAGGCAGAGGCAGGTGGATCTCTGTGAGTTCGAGACCAGCCTGGTCTACAGAACTAGTTCCAGGACAGGCTCCAAAGCCACAGAGAAACCCTGTCTCAAAAAACCAAAATAAATAAATATTAAAAAAATCATTCTTGTCCTATCAGCTCTAGTTTCTTAATAGCTAGCTCTTACATCTTAATTTAACCCATTTCTATTAATCTGTATATCACCATGTGGCTGTGGCTTATGGGCAAGGTTCCAGCTGTTCCCACAGTGTCTCCTGACTCTACCTTGTTTCTTCCCCATTCAGTTTAGTTTTCCCCACCTAGCTCTACTCTGCTCTATCACAGGCTCAAGACGGTTTCTTTATTAACCAATGGTACTCTCAGTATACAGAGGGGAATCCCACATCACCTCCCCTTTTCTGCTTAAATAAAAAGGAAGGTTTTAACTTTAACATAATAAAACAGGTATCAATTAAGAATTACATTTACAAGCTAGACAGTGGTGGCGCATGCCTTTAATCCCAGCACTCAGGAGGCAGAGGCAGGCAGATCCTATTGAGTTCGAGACCAGCCTAGTCTACAAGCTAGTTCCAGAACAGGCTCCAAAACTACAAAGAAACCCTGCTCAAAAAAAAAAAAAAGTTACAATATTTATTTTTATCATAACTAAGGAAAACTATATCTATATTTTAACTCGATTAAAGACTCCAGAAGGATATACTATTACCTAAGTAAACACAAAGTGTATTGTAAGCAACTTCCAAAATAAACTCTAGAATTGACAGAGCCATCTCACTGTCTGGACAGTCACCCAAAGTTTTTTGGTAACACTGTAGGCACCCATCTTCAACCTACAGGCCCATAGTATCCAGTAGACTTTTCCGTGAAGCAGGAAATTTTACACAGTTTCACCTATATTGGGCAGTTTGTCAGTCACTTTTTTCTGTATCCTGTAGAATGTCTGGCAGACTCTTTCATGAAGCAGGAACCCTGAAGGACCGTCTGACCTTTAGACAAGTTCAGCAATCATTTCTCTGTAGGTTCTGCACTTCCAGTTCCTACAGCATAACATTAAGCAGTCCGGGCAAGAGCAGTTTCTTGCCCAATGACTAGCAAACTCCATTAGGAGCCTCTTTGGTACTCATCTTTCTCTTGAAGTTATTGGTGCTGCCAGGGCAGATATGTCTCATTGTCATGAAAAATCTTAAGTTTTTAAAACATTTAAATGTCATATTTTGTTAGCTTTTGAAAGATTTGAAGAATCTCTATCTAACTGAAATATATCTCTATATCTAGAAAACCTGATTGTCTATTAACGTATTTTTAAATTATACATTATATTTTTAAATAAGCTGTACAAACACAATACCTTAATCAACAGCAGAAATGCACATACACAATATAACAAAATTGACCTTAAATTTTTATCAATAAACCAAGATCCATACCAATGCAAAGTATCCATCTCTACAGCATAGCCCCCTTTAAATGTAAAGAAACATTTACCAAACAATCATTTAGGGAATTCAGACGTGTCCATACACGTGAGTGTAGGTGTCTGCAGAGGCTAGAAGATTGGATCCCTTGGAACTGAAGTTACAGGCAGTTGTGCGCCACTCGATGAGGATGCTAGGAGCTGAACTCTGGTCCTAGGCTAGATTTATATTTACTCTTTTTTGGGGTTGGGGGTATGGGGTGTTTCAAGACAGGGTTTCTCTGTGTATCTTTGGCTGTGCTGGAACTCACTCTGTAGACCAGACTGGCTTCGAACTCATAGAGATCCACCTGTCTGCTTCCCGAGTGCTGGGATTAAAGGCGTGCGCCCTCCTTGATTTATATTCATTCACTCTTAACCACTAAAGCATCTCTTGCTCTGACTCATTGTGATTTTTGTTTACTTTTCTCCTTTTTTAATAAAGCACAAATTTTCCCATATTCAAGGCTACGCTGATCTTCTCTGTATTGTTCCAGTTTTAGTTTGTATGGTGCTTAATCTGATAGCTAAACCTATTTTCATTTGGGTTTTTTGGTTGTTTGGTTTTGTTTCTGAGTCAGGGTTTCCTTGTGTAGTCCTGGCAGTCTTGGAACTCAGTCATAGACCAGGCTGACCTTGACTCACAGAGATCTGCCTGCCTCTGCCTCTGGAGTGCCGGTTAAAGGTATCCACCACCACACCCAACTATTTTCATGTAGTGTATTGACCATTTATGCATCTTCCTTAGATGAATGTTAGGCTTTGTCCTAGTGCTGTGAGTGGCAGGGACCAAAGGATCATGGAGGCTTGGAGGCTGACAGCCTAGAAAGGAAAAGGCAAGCTGCAGTTCAGTGAGAGACCCTGACATCGGGGAGTAATGCTGAGAGCACTGCTGGAAGACATGTCATGTCCTCCTCTGGCAGCCACATGAGTCCATGCATGGGGGCATATATACCCTACACAGCACACACACACACACACACACACACCTATAAAAAAAAAATAAGATCATGAGGGTCTAAGCTTTAGTTTTCTCTTGCATCTCTAGGCATACATTACATCCAGTTGTAATTACAGAACTCAAATTATCCTTTGTAATCTATTCTTTCAAGATGCAAACCTCTATAACTATGTTTTATAAACCACCCCCAGGTTGTGCTCTTGACTCATGGAGTTTCTGGGTATTCTTGCTAGTCTGACTTTGAAAAGGAGCCTTATATAGACTTTTGACCTTACATACTCTGCATAATGATTTATTTCTGTTTGATGGGTGTGGTGACTAAAGAGTCTGCCGTCTCTAGAGGGCATTCTATGTTGTTTTCTTTTTTCCTTTTTTTCTTGTTTTAGTGCTGAGGATCAAATCAAAGATCTCACGCATGCTTCTTTTTATATAACTTATTTAATTTTACTTTTATGTACATTGGTGTGAGGGTGTCAGATCCCCCTGGAATTGGAGTTACAGCTGTGAGCTGCCATGTGGGTGCCAGGAACGTAACCTGCATCCTCTGAAAGAGCAGTCAGTGCTCTTAACCACTGTGCCATCTCTCCAGCCCTCATATATGCTTCTTATGTCTAGAAATAGCACAAACTCTTTTTTGTGAAATCCTATAGTCAGTTTTTTGTTTTTTTTTTTTTTGTTTTTCGAGACAGGGTTTCTCTGTAGCTTTGGTGCCTGTCCCGGAACTAGCTCTTGTAGACCAGTCTGGCCTCGAACTCCCAGAGATTGTAGTCAGATTTTTATTCAGAAATTTTACTATAGTCTATGTTCTGTATTTTTTTTTAAAGATTTATTTTATTATGTATACAATGTTCCTCCTGCATGTACACTTCTATTCCAGAAGAGGGCACTAAATCTCATGAGCCATTATGTGGTTGCTGGGAATTGAACTCGGGACCTCTGGAAGAACAGCCAGTGTTCTTAACCTCTGAGCCATCTCTCCAGCCCAGTTCTGTATTTTTTGTATCCTTTATAGTACTGAAAATATATCCTTAGTAGGTGTTTAGTATACATTTGTATTTTATATAAATAGGTACTAGAATAGCCTCATTTTTTTGTCTACTAAAATTTTTTTTTTTAAAGGAAGGGTCTTACTATGCAGTAAGTACTGGGTTACCTGGAACTTGCTATGTGGACCAGAATGACTTTGAACTCACAGAGATCCATCTACCTCTGCTTCTCGGTGGTGGAATTAAAGGAGTACACCATGCTCAGCCCTATTCTTGGATTTCATATTGAATTTCCAAATTATTGTATTACCCTACAGATGGTCTTAGTAATGATTTCTGGTCTCAATCCTTTACTTTCCACAGAATGACAGGGTGGCCACTCAGTTGGCTGTCAGTATTCGTTTTCAAGGAGACAAACGTCTGAGCAGCCTGCGCCGTTGCTGTGCCCTCACTCGCTATGATGCTCATAAGATGAGCCAGGATGCATTTGCTGCCATCAGGAACTGTAATACTTCTGGAGTCCAAACTGAGTGGTGAGGCTCCTTTTTGGTTTGGTTTGGTTTGGTTTTTGTTTTTTTTAGTTTGTGTGTGTGTGTGTGTGTGTGTGTGTGTGTGTGTGTGTGTGTGTGTTTGTTTTTTAAGAAAAGGGCCAGGAAGTGGTGGCGCACGCCTTTAATCCCAGCACTCAGAAGGCAGAGGCAGGTGGATCTCTGTGAGTTCGAGGCCAGCCTGGTCTACAAGAGCTAGTTCTTCCAGGGCAAGCTCCAAAACTACAGAGAAACCCTGCCTCGAAAAACCAAAAACAAAAACAAAAAAGGTATTGTGTGGCTTCAATCAGTGAGCCTCTGAACTTTCATCTGAAGTAGCTTGTGACTTGACTAGCCACACCTCATAGAGGGGGTGAGCAAGGGCTAAGGAAGGTGAGAAGAAAGCAAGTTCACTCACAGGGTTTTGTTTGTTTTTCCTACATTGATACATTCTGGGACCCAAGGGTGTAGTAGTAGCTAGAAGACACCTGAACTAGTGCCAGCACGCTGCCTTCAGGGAAATGACTGCCTGTAACAGTATTAAGCTTTTTACGTCCTGAGATTATCAGGAATTTTTTTTAAGATAGGGACTCCTGTATTCCAGGCAAGTAGCTAGAGTTGACTGTGTACATCTTTTTGTTTGTTTTGGTTTTGGAGACAGGGTTTTGCTCCACAGCCCTGACTTTCCTAGAACTCACTTTAGAGACCAGGATGGCCTTGAACTCCACCTGCCTCTGTCCCCCAAGTGCTGGGGGGTTAAAGGCGTGTGCCAGCACACACTGGATTTTACACTTCTGATGCTCTTGCCGCCATCTCCCAAGTACTGAGATTACAGGCCAGGACTATCACATGCCTGAAGTGCTGGGATTAAAATCTTGGCCACCCCTGCCTGGCAATAGTCTGGATCCTGAAGATTAAACCTAGGTCCTTGAACATGCGAGGCAAGTGTTCTACTACTAAGCTACACCTTCAGATTTTTCATAAGAACTTTGGGAAAGCATAATGAGTAAATAAATATGTAAAACATAATACAACAAATCGACAAATATCTTGAAATGTTTCCCTTTGGTTGTATTTCTCGAGACAGAGTTCTCTGTGTAACCACTCTGGCTGTCCTGGAACTCACTGCAGACCAGACTGAGACTGGAAACCAAAAGCTTGATAGGGAATTTCATCTTGAAAAATTCTAGAGTTATGGATTAGGATAAGAATTTTTTCCCACTTATCTTGTGTGTATATGTGTCGTAATTTGTGTACTACTTGCGAAATCTCTGAGTTGGTCCTACACACCAAACTCAGGCCATCCAGTTTGGTGGCAAGTGCCACCCCCTGAGCCAACTGGGGATGACCCTGAGCTATGATTTGCTTATTTCTCCTGTTGTTGTCTTGAATAAAATTTGTGTAGCCCCAAGCCAGGTGTGGTGGCACACACCTTTAATCTCAGCACTTAGGAGGCAAAGTCTGACTGATCTCTGAGTTCAATGCCAGCCTGGTCTAAAGACCGAGTTCTAGGACAGCCAGCCAGAGCTACACAGAGAAACTCTGTCTCAAAAAAAAAAAAAAAAAAAAAAAAGAGCAAGGTGGTAGTGCACGCCTTTAGTCCCAGCACTCAGGAGGCAGAAGCAGGTGGATCTCTGTGAGTTCGAGGCCAGCTTCGTCTTAGCCTCATCTTCAGAGCGATTCTCAGGACATGTTCCAAAGTTAGAGAAACCTTGTCTTGAAAAGGGGGTGGGGGTAGTAATAGAATTTCCTTTCATGTAGAACCAGAACTTGTCATTCATTAATAAAATCTAGGCTCTTTTTTTTTGTTTTGTTTTGTTTTGTTTTTTTTTGTTTTTTGAGACAGGGTTTCTCTGTAGCTTTGGTGCCTGTCCCGGAACTAGCTCTTGTAGACCAGGCTGGCCTCGAACTCCCAGAGATCCGCCTGCCTCTGCCTCCTGAGTGCTGGGATTAAAGGCGTGCGCCACCACCACCCGGCTAAATCTAGGCTCTTAAAACAGTGACTTGGTAATGTCCTTGTTCCATTACTTTGTACACAGGTCCCCTCCCCTCACGATGCTTTTCCTCTGTGCCACCAAGTTCTCTGCCTCTGCTCCTTCATCTCGCACAGATATCACCGTCTTCTTGAGCAGTGACTCAAGTTGTCAGTCAAAGGTGCCAACTGCCAGCTCTGAAACTAAGACCCAGGGAACTGGTGCAGCTTTGCCCACATCTAGAAAGCCAGCCACCTCTCTGGAGTCTTTTTTTCAAAAGGCTGCCAAAAAGCAGACAGTGAAAGAGACTTCCCTTGCTCCTCTCAACATGTCCACAGACAAGTCACCAGTCAAGCCCGCACTACCATTCCAAAGCAGCCGGACTGCAGGAATTGAGCCCTTCTTCAAGCAGAAGAGGCTGTTATCACAGCAAACACAGCTTAATAGTCCTTCAGCTCCTCACTCTCCACAGATGAACTCAGAAGCGATATCAAGCTATTTTCCCACAGAGTGTGCAGATGGTGGTCCTCTTTATGAAAGAGTGTTGAAACCACTATCTTCTAAAGCAATTTCTACAGAAAAGGATGTGGCTGGGAACAGTCCAAACATGCTTAATTCTTCAGTTTACAACTCTGAGGAGGTAGCCCACAGTACAGCTGAGGACCAAATGCTCTGTGAGAAGTGTAACTCGCTGGTCCCAGTGTGGGATATGCCAGAACACATAGATTACCATTTTGCATTGGAGTTGCAGAAGTCTTTTTTGCAGCCTTATACTTCAAAACCCCACACTGTTCCTGCAATGTCTCCTCAGGGCAAAAGAAATCCCAAGAGTCCTTTGGCTTCCAGTAATAAACGGCTTAGGCTCCACGGCATGCAGACACTGGAATCATTTTTTAAGCCATTGACACATTAATGCTGCCCTCCGGCTTGTAAAACTTTACAATAGTTAGTTGTAACTGAGCGATGGGATCATGTTGATTTCTCAAGGGAATCTATGAAATTGTTAATACAAAATTAGATTCCTCTATTCCAGTGGGATCCTGGTCCTGTTTCTGATCAAAATGCTTTTAATGTCCTTAGGGAGACGGTGTCGTAAAAGGTGTAAGGAGCCTGGGCAAACTCCTTCAACATTGAGCTTTCTCACTCATCTATAAAACTAAAGACCATACGTGATATATTTAGGGGTGTAACTCCTAATAACCCCCCATGCCAGGCGGTGATGGTGCACGCCTTTAATCCCAGCACTGAGGAGGCAGAGGCAGGCAGAACTCTGAGTTCAAGACTAGCCTGGTCTATAAGAGCAAATTCCAGGACAGCCAGGGCTATACAGAGAAACCCTGTCTCACAAAAACCAAAAGACCCCCCCCTCAAAAAAACAAACAACAACAACAAAAACAAAAAACAAAAAAACAAAGTCCTAACTTGAAATTGGAACAGAATGGGGGGAAAAATGGGTTGGGGATATAACTCAGTGGTGGAACACTGGCCTAGGGTAGCATGTGCAACACCCTGTCTGTGTTCAATTCCCAGTACTGGAGTGGGAATAAAACAAAAAACAGTACATTAGCCAAAAGGCTAAAGTAATGGATTTAATAAATAATCTTTTTAATGAGACATGTAGTCTTCCTTAGCCACCCAGGTGTTAGGCTTTTCTGATATGACCTTGAATTATATGCAAAACCAGATAGTGGGTTTAATGAGTAGGAAGATAGCACACACTGCTCTTCCCATGCTAAATACAAACCAACTTCATTTTCCATATTTATAAATTGTGCCTTTGTATTTTACTTCAAGGGGAAGGTTTAAAGCTAACTGTGTTTAGCAGGAATTTACATTTCCCTTGAATTTACTGTGGCTTTTCCCTAGCTGGGTCAGTAGCTTCTTAAAGGCAAGAATTCTTGCAGTGCCTTACACATAGTGTGTTCTTGATTATTGATGTATGTAATAAAAATTATACATGATTGCCCACACTAGGAAAATAAAAATGTACTCTTTGAGGACCTGCCTTGCACACGTTTATTCCTCTAAATGTTCTGTTAATGTACTGGTAACTTTGACATTGGGGTGGGTAGGCTAGGCTAAACGGTCTTCACAACTCTGATCCTCCTACTTCAGTTTTCTATGTGCTGGAATCGTATGTGTATACAAATGTGCATGTGCAACTGTCATCTCCTTTTGGTTGCAGTTGGATGACTGCAAGTAGTAGTTGTAGAGAAAAATAAGGTGTGGCGAGGTGTTTTGTACGTGCTTGGAATCCCAACACTTTAAAGGGTAAAGGAAGGAGAATCAATCTGGAGTTAAAATCATCCCTGGCTAGATAGCAAGTCTGGGGCAACCTGGGCTACATGAAGGGAGTAGAGATTGGGGGTGTAAGCTAGTGGTAGAGTACTTGCTTAGTATGACATTTTAAAAGAGAAGAATAAATCTAGATGTGACAATGTGTAATCCTAGGATTCTGGAGGTGGAGGCAGGAGGATCTGGAGTTAAGCTCCAGGTCATCTTAGATAATTCAGTGAGACCTTGTCTCAAAAGAGAGAAGCGCTGTTGTAGAAACTTAGGTGTCACTTGATCTCTAGAGATAAGCTGGAGGTCAGGTGGAGGGTGGCTAGTGGACCAATGGAAGGCAAAGCCAGCAGTATACCTTGTCCTGGGCAGCCCTGCCCTATTGTGTCCAGTCTATAGGAGAGCAGACAGCAGGCCTTCATCAGTGCTGGGAAAGCACCATTGTGCTACAAGGTGACCTTGCCTTCACTACTCACAGCTTTTAATACAGGAGGCAGTTTACCCACAGGCTTCTTAGTAGTATGTTAAGCCAATGGCAATTTTTGGTTTTTGTTTTTCCAGATGGGGTTTTTCTGTATAGCGCTGGCTGTCCTGGAACTCATTTTGTAAACCAGGCTGGCCTTGAACTCAGAGATCCAACCATCATGATCGGCTACCAATGGTTATTTAAAAAAAAAAAAAAAAAAAAAAAAAAGATCAGGGGCTGGAGAGATGGCTCAGTGGTTAAGAGCACTGGCTGCTCTTCCAGAGGTCCTCAGTTCAATTCCCAGCACCCACATGGTGACTCACAACCATCTGTAATGAGATCTGGTGCCCTCTTCTGGAATGTGGGCATACATGGAGGCAGAATGTTGCATACATAATAAATAAATCTATAAAAAAAAAATCAGATATGGTGGCCCATACCTGTAACCCTAGTTGAAGAAGGCAAGGTAGGACTACTGTGAGTTAAGGCCACAGAGCCAAGAGCCTGTCTAAAAGTACTATATATAGGACTGGAGGATACAGCTCAGCAGGTGCCTAAAATTCAGAAGACCTACGTTTGAGCCTTAGCATGGGATAAAAGCAGGTATGAGTCGTGTCTGTAACCCCAGCAATTGAGAGGTAGAAGGATCAAAAGTTTAAGGTCATCCTCAATTACATAGTCTGATGCCAGCCTGGGCTAGAAACTTATCTCAAAAAATAAAACTCCGGTGGCAGAGTGCTGCATAAGGCTTTGGACCACATGTATCATTTGCTTTGCCAGGATTAGTATTCAAAATAGATTTCCTACTTTTGCAGTAGTCTTTAGCCTTAGACCCTTCTTAATATGGGATAGGCTGGGAATAGAGCTCAATGGTGGTATCTGGTTAGCATGGACTCTAAAATCTATGATAGTCTGAACACAGAAATAGGAAAGGCCAAGGTTTAGCTTACGTGGTCCTCGATGCTCCAAGATCTTAGGCTTAAAAGAAGTATGAGGACCGCATTACCATTCCCCTCTGAGTCTTCACCCCTGCACAGCTGGTACTCTGAGGAGAGGGCTCCTCCTAGTGAAAACTGGCAGGCGTAATGCAGCTAACTATTTGAGCTAAAAAGGCCTCTCCACTCTGCTCACTTGCAGAATGAAGCAAAATAGAACACACAGAATACTGATCCTATGGGGATAGGAAAAGAATGGCCAATGAGATAAGGGATGACTTCTTTCACCGATGGTAGGGAGTCACTTGTCTGTAATCCTGGAGGAGAACCCAGTTGTGGAGGCGGAACCTTTGTCTTAAGTATAAGCACAGAATATCCAATAAAACATTTTTATTCTGTACAATATATATGTGTATTTAAATATATGTACATATATATATACACATGTGCAGAGAATCTTCAGCCAACAAATCCCTGAGTTCATGGGAACCCAGGATGCTAACAAAGGGAAAGGAGGGAGTCCATGCCTAGAATGACATCCTTCCCTTTCCTCCTGGTTCCCGGCACTACAGAGTACTAAAACAAGAAAAAATTTATGTGGGAGCAGGAATGGGGATGAGGATGTCAGGATACATAACTGGGTCAAGGTCCTGCAGCTACCAGTCTGGGAAAGGAAACAGACTACTTGATCTAGTATGAAAACCAACAGATGACTTGAGAGGAGAAACTGACATGCAGCTGGCCTTCAGTGTGCCAAGTCTTAGCTTGGCAGCCCCACGCTTAGGCCAGCATCACAAATAGCACCAAGTGGGGCCTATAACAGGAGGATCTGGGCAAAGGGCCCTTGAGTAAAGGACAATGAAATAAAGCCAGAAATATGCATCAGGACTCAACACAGGGTAGGAACACAGTCTTTCATGGTCTCTGTGCCATTTCTTCTGTCCCTGGGTCCCAGTGAGGGGCACTGCCTTTCATCCAGTCAGGTGGAGAAGGGAACTCACGTGGCCCTGAGAGGAGGTGTAAGAAGTACTTTCAAGGGCCAACCCAGGTATGACAATTCCTGAAGTGCAGAGGTCACACTGGTGAGTCATGCCCAGTCCTGAGAGTGGCGTCCAGTCGACAAGGTCATGCAGCTGCCAGGGTTAATGAGCCAACCAGGGGGCACACAGCTGCTGAGAACTGCCCTGAATTGTCTTCTCCCTCAGGACTGCCCCTCCCTGACCACGCCAAGCTTGACACCTCTCCAGAGGGTGGCAGGAGGCAAGTGGCAGCAGACACTAATCTGCCTAGTCTAGGAACACACAGCCGCCGACGGTGGGCAGCATGGCCGGAAGTCACCTTATTATTGTAGTGACAGCAGTAGAGCTGTTCTGAGGACTCAGAAGCCCATACTGGCCTGGGCTTCTCCTGCTGTGATGGCTTGCACATCCGTGACATGACCGATGCCCTTGGTAACACCCTCCCGGAACAGCAGTTTGGCGCCCACCTTCAGGTATTCTGGGTGTTTCAGGAAGCGGAAACGTACTACTGCTTTCTCCCCTGTCCGCAACTTGTCCTTCAGGAGAAAAGTGGTCACAACCCTGGCCAATGCCTCTCATCCCATCCTCTGTCAGCCTTGGCTCCACCCTTGAAGTAAGTCCCCAGGTGGGCTGCTACCCTTCCTGTATGGGCTTTGTTCCCTTTATTGGGATCAGGCAACTCTAAGCCAAGTGTAATGTGTAAAGTGTAAGCCAAGGGCTCCCTCCTGTATCCCTGCAAAAAATGGAGACATGGCTGGGTGGCTCTCACCTTTGCATGGATCTTTTCTACCACTGCTGTTTGACGTACGTTGCCCACGTGTACTGTCACCTGGAATCCCCGCCGGAAGGTGGTGGCATGGAACAGCAGGACTATCTCTGCCTCAAACACTGAGCAGATGGTGGGATTCATCTCGGGACTCACCATCACCATGCCCTGGGGAGGCACAGCCAGGGAGACGCAAGCCAGATCCAAGAAGGGCAGACCTGGCGTTAGACTCCATTTCCAGACATTCTGCACACTTTAGAACTCCTGAATTCCCTTTTCTTCTATATGCCTCCAGGGAAAAGCCTCAGAAGGCCATGGTACCATGGTACCTGTGTTTTGAGTATCCTAAGCCCTTTCAATAGTCTATATAGCCAGGCCTACACTCCCAAGTTAGAGACCACCATGTTTCCTTAGGTTTCAATAGCCAGTCTTCCAGACACTTGTATTCCCTCTCCAACCGACCTGTTCACCTCACCTTGCGAAGCAGTGCACGGTCAAAGTCTCCGAGGGCTAGTGTAGCAGCCTGACCAGCTCGCAGCACACGACAGGCAGAGCGATTGCGCTGGATGCTGCATACTCTCAGCTCCAGGAAGCAGCCATCATCTGTTGGGCCTACCACCAGCTGGTCACCCTCACGGCAGATCCCACTGCAGCCCAGATAGCAGGTAACACAATGTCAGCATAGGTCCCTCTGGCTTCTCTGCTAGGGGCACTCAGAATACACTCGCCCTTGAATTAGGGCAAAAGTACCCTAAATTCCAGCTTGGAAGTAGGGAGATAACTGCCTTGTCCAGTCTAGCGTTTAGATTCTGAATACCAGCAGTAACGGCTGGCAGAGCCACACCTGTGGCTTGGCTAACACCAGCTCACTAAACAAGTCACATCCTCGGGCTTTATGCTGTGCTTCCTCACTTCCCTGCTCTGAGATGCTAGGTGAATGCACTGCTTCTTCCTAGAGCCCATGACCATAGGCTCAGGGCCTGGAGAGTCCCCTAAAGCAGCAATGCCATTGCTCCCTCATAAGCCAAGAGTACTAGGATCCCACATTCTGTGCATGAGCTCAGCCCAACCCAGGGCCTGCTTCAGGCAAGAGGTCGTCAAGTACAGGGGTACACAGGCAAGGACGAGTAACACAAGGCAGTCACCTGGACAGTGTTCCTCCAACCACAGTCCCCACCTCTGGGACGGTGTAGATTTCATCCACCTAGAGCCAAAGAAAACTCTGTCAATGTCCTGCCATGAGGGCTTGTAGACCCAAGCTTTGTTATACGCTCAGGCTGTCAGAACTGGGCTGGCCCTGCCCTGCCCCTCCCTCCTGTTTGTTGGCTCAACTACCTGGAATTCTGTCAACTGCTGCATAAGTTCTTCCTGCTCTTTGCTGTTGGTGAGTGGAGGCAGGATATTCAGGAAGACTTTAAGAAGGTCCAGACTCTCTCCAGACACACTGGACAGCGTGAATATAGGCGTGACACTGTGGAGAGAGAAATGTGTAACAATAGTCTTAACAGGAAACAGTAGCAGAGGCCCCTTCTGACTGGGAGCAAGTCAGGGAATGTGGACAGTTAATGTTTTCAAGGGCCCAACCATAGCTCCCTCCCACAATCCCAAGCTGAAAAAGGCAAAGAAATGAACTACAATGGATCTGGCCCTAGAGGTGGGACACCATGCTCCTGTACCCTGTGGCAGCCTTCCCTGTCCATCAAGGCTTGAGGGTGAGAGGCAGGCTCACTTGGGTGACTGGGCAAATTGCTGGGCAGCAGTGACAGCATCATCCTCAGAGGTGACCAGCATAGGGACCTTGTGGCAGCCAGGCTGCTTGAGGACCCGTTCCAGCTGGCGTACTGTCCTCTCCACTGTGGTCTTAGCACACAGGTCCACTTTACTGACCACGATGAAGAAGGGCACTTTCAGGGCCAAGGCCAGCCCCAGATGTTCCCGTGTGGTGCCGGCTACCTCATAGAAAAGAGGCAGGTGGCAGGAGAGAGAATTTGGGAGGAAGGAAAAGGAAGAGTTGGTGTTGCTCCCAGCTCTGAGGGGGCTCAGGGCAGAAAGTCAGCTCCTCCCTTTGCCCTGCCCCCTGCTCAGTATCTCGTACCGATTCCAGTGTTGGCACTGACGAGGAGCAGGGCACAATCAGGGCAGTAGGAGGTGAGGCCGAAGATGGTGGTGTGCAGGTATTTATGGTGGCCCGCCAGGTCGATGAAGGTGATCATCTTGGAGCTGCTTTCACAGATCTCTTCTGCAGTCCGTGAGTCGCTGTAATTCACCACCTAGCCCAGGGCCAGGGCTCTCAGTGTCCCTGTGACCTCCCCAACCCTTCAGAAGTCACCAGGACCTAGTCTAGTCCCTAGCCCATTTTCTATTCACTCCGTAGATTCTCTCTTGGTTTTTAAGAGGGAGAGAACTGTTCACAGTACCCTTAGACTTCTCCAAGACGTCTCCGCACCCTGCCCCCAGCCTCTGCTTTCACCTCTACCAGCCCATCCTCAGAGTCTGGCCCCACTGGGTCCCGCTGATCCCATGCACCTCTCCCTTGCTGTTAAAGCCCAGGATCTCAAAGCTGATGCTGGAGGTTCGGCCAGACTGAATCTCATGCAGGTGTCGGAAAAGGTTGAGCCGGGCTCGGCCCCGCCCGTTGTCCATCTCTCCTTGGGTCAAGACTCCAAGCAAGGTCGACTTCCCCGAGTCCACATTCCCTAGGACTGCCACGCGGAGATCTAGGAACTGTGAGGAATGTGGCAGAGGTGAGTTCACCTCACACTGAAGGTTAAGGTTCTCATACTCCCTGGAGCACCCCCTCAGGAGCCTAGGCCAGTGGAAAGCCTCTCAACACAGCCTTTGCTGGGAGGAGAGCATGGGCGCTCACCTGCTGATTGTCAGGAACCTTTCGCACCAGCACCTCAGTGATCTTCCGGGGCACGTCACTATCATAATCCACTTCTCGCTCCCGGAGAACAGTGATGTCTGCCCCAACCCTGTCACAGAGAAGCCACAGCTGCCATATTTCACATTATTCCCCTATTCCAGTCTGGCTCTGACCACAGAGGTCCTGACACCTCACTGAACTTCCTACCCCCTTGCAATCTAACCCCCCCCACACACACTTCTTTTGAAACAAGCATCTTAAATCAAAAGGAGTGGGGAGTCTAGGCACAGTGAGACGAGCGCAACAACCGGACTCACTCTGCCCCTGTCAGGAGACTGCTACAGGAGGAACCCACCTCACCCCAGTCCCTCTGGACCTGGCTGGCTGGATATGTATGGGTCCTCCCTAAAGTAGGGGAGAGGGGAGAAGGAAGCATACTTCTCTGCCATCCGGTGCAGGGTCTTGAGGGAAGCCCGCATCTCCTCCTCAGCCAGCCCCACCAGCAGCCCATTGTCCTCTACACCAATCTGGTAGACAGCCTCACCGCGTCCCTCCTGGAGCCGCCACTTCATTTGCGTCACCAAGTGTTCAAAGCGGTACTGGGATGGATTCACCAGCTTCAGCTTGGGACAGATGTGGTATCATAAGAAGAAGAAAGCAGGGTGCTCCTCCCAGACTCTAAATGTGGTCCCTACCTGTCCTGCTACAGTAACCAGCACCTTTCTTTTCCACTTAAAACCCTTGCCCCTGGGGATGGAGAAATGGTTCAGTGGTTAAGAGAACTCAGGTCAGGGGCTGACAAGTGCCTGAAATGACAGCTCAAGGGGAATCTGACACCCTATTCTGACCTCTGAGATACTGGTACTCAGAAGTACATACCTACACACACACACACACACACACACACACACAAATTAAAAATCTTAAAAAAAAAAAACAAACCCTTACCCCTGACCACACTAGCAGTGATTCTCCCCCTGACACAGTGGGGTTCAGAGAGCCCAGCATGATGACCATGCAGCGTGGAGTGGGAAGGATAGCAGAGAAATCACCTTACACTGACTAGGGCAACCACTCCATCCCATCTCCTCCCCACCTAAGACTCACTTTATATTCGATGTTGCCATCTTCAGCCTAAAAAGAAACAGGAAACAGTTAGCACACCCTGTTCAGACCCAATCCCTACTTCCTCAATCCCCAATGACCTCAGGCATATAAGGCAAGCCATGGTGGCCCAACCTGCCCATGCTCCCAGATAGCCTCTGAGGAAAGGCTGTAAGGATCCAGCAAACCACCCACTTATCCAAGGATGGAATCGCAGATCCTCAGCATGTTCTTTCTAGATGCAAGATCACCTCTTCCTCCCCAACCTCCACAGCTGACACTGCTGGCCAGTCTGGGTGTTCTGGTTTTGGTTTCATTTTCTTTCTGTGTTCAGGCTGTTGCTGCCTTTCTTTGACACTCACCTAGTAGACACCACTTCCTTCTTGCCCCTCCCTCTCAGCTGATGCCATCAAGTGTAAGAGATTACAAGGGACTCTGGGCCAGAGCCAATGTGTGAGCTCAGCACTGGTCACTGCAAACTTACTGACATAGGAGGCCCAGGTAGGAGAGGAGTAAAACTCCAAAGTTGGGGCTTGGGGACTGGAGAGATGGCTCAGTGGTTAAGAGCATTGCTTGTTCTTCCAAAGGTCCTGAGTTCAATTCCCAGCGACCACATGGTGGCTCACAACCATCTGTAAGATCTGGTTCCCTCTTCTGGCCCACAGGCAGGCAAACCACTGTATACTTAACAAATAAATAAATCTTAAAAAAAAAAGTTGGGGCTTACATTTTATTTTTATTTATTTATTTATTTGTTTGTTTGTTTATTTATTTATTTGATTTTTCGAGACAGGGTTTCTCCGTAGTTTTTGGTTCCTGTCCTGGAACTAGCTCTTGTAGACCAGGCTGGCCTCGAACTCACAGAAATCCGCCTGCCTCTACCTCCCAAGTGGGGCTTACATTTTAAAAAAAAAAAAAAAAGAAAGAAGCCGGGCGGTGGTGGCGCATGCCTTTAATCCCAGCGCTTGGGAGACAGAGGCAGGCGGATTTCTGTGAGTTCAAGACCAGCCTGGTCTACAAGAGCTAGTTCCAGGACAGGCTCCAAAACCACAGAGAAACCCTGTCTCGAAAAACCAAAAAGAAAAAAGAAAAAAGAAAAAAAGAAAAGAAAAGAAATTTATTAAAGGGACAGATGTCATAAACTGAACTTACTATGGCTTTTTCCCCTGTTCCTTGAGGCAAAACTCTGAACAATCCCATATCATAGGCTCTCTCAGAGCTGCCACCTTTTGGGCTGTGTGCTCCACACACCTGCCTCACCCCACCCCACCCCTGTACAAAAGGTTGTGACATCTTCTCATATTGCCCTTCTCTATTTCTGCATTCGTCCTCTATTTCCCTTCCTGTCATCATTCCATCTTTAAAATCCTTAGAAGAGTCTTTACCCACAATCTCAGTGCCATGGAATGTGTGGAAGCTCTTTCCCCATCAACAAAGACACTTTTTTACTATTCTGCTGATGGTGAACAATTAGGATAGTGGACTTTAAAGATGGTATAAAGATAATCCAGGCCAATGGTTCTCAAAGTGTGGTTCTGAGACCAACAACATTATAGTGTAAGAAATGCCAGCCGGGCGGTGGTGGCGCACGCCTTTAATCCCAGCACTTGGGAGGCAGAGGCAGGCGGATCCCTGTGAGTTCGAGACCAGCCTGGTCTACAAAAGCTAGTTCCAGGACAGGCACCAAAAACCACAGAGAAACCCTGTCTCGAAAAACAAAACAAAACAAAACAAAACAAAACAAAGAAATGCCAAATTTGCTGTGTGGTGGTGCATGCATTTAATCCCAGCACTCGGGAGACAAAGGTAGGAATATCTTTGTGAGTTCGAAGCCAGCCTGGTCTACAAAAGCTAGTTCCAGGACAGCTAGCGCTGTTTCACAGAGAAACCCTGTCTGGAAAAACCAAAGGGGAAACAAAACCCAAAAGAAATGCCAAATTCTCAGGCCCATCCCTCACCTAGTGGATCAGAAATTCTGTGAACAGAACAGCAATCTGGATAACTCTGGCGCATACTTAAAGTCTGATAACCACTATTTGAAGCCCTTCCCACCTTGGGTCCTTCTATCTTTTGTTTGTTTTGTTTTCAGAAACAAGGTTTCTCTGTGTATCCCTGGCTGCCCTGGAACTGGCTCTGTAGACCAGACTGGCATGGAACTAGGAGAAATTCTCCTGCCTCTGCTTCCTGAGTGCTGGGTTCTCCTATCTAAAGAGGAAGAAGGAAGGTGGTCTTCTTTGCTTTAAGGACTCATGGATCATATGGGGCTCTTCTCTGTCTCCACGCCCCAACAGGACAAGGGAAAGGCAGAGGGCTATGTCTAACTGTTCTGTTTTGTGTGTGTGAGTACCGAGGGCGTTGAGAAGGAAAACACTGCTCTAGTCCCGACTACTCCCCTCCCTGTGGACCAAGTTTAGAAAAGCGGTGGTTACTCTGCTAGCCTTCTTATCCCAGTTAGGCTTCTTTCCCACTCTCAGGGGACTGGGGATCCCCGCCTTCACTTCTCCAAAGGTTGTTAGTGAAAGGGGCAGTCCCTTCCCGAGGTCCTGACACCGAAGAGAATCGTCTAGCCCCTCTTTTCTAAGGGGTCCTGAGACAGGAGGAGGGGTTCTCTTCTCCAGTCCTTCCTCCCTGGGGTCTTGACACCGGAAAGAGGGATTAATTATCTCTGTCCCGCCTCCCTGGAGTCTCGGGGACCGGAAAGAGTAGTTCCCTGTGCCCCGCCAATTTTTCAGGTGCTCACCTCTGGAGGCAGGTACGGAGGGTTGTTGGCTTTACCTCCTCGGTTCCTTCCGTTCTTCTTCTTCCCCTTTGGGCCCCCGCAACTGCTGCTACCGCCGGCCCCCCGAGCTTTGAGGTTTCCGCCCATGGCCGGGCCTCCTCCGGGCCGGCAGCAGCCGCCGAACAGCTCCGATACCCGCGAGTCCATCCGCTGCTGCCACCAGCCCCCCGCCCAACCCCTCCCCCCGCCACTGCCACCGCCCCTACTGCCACCGCCGCGTCGGGCCAGCCGGAGGAGAGCGGGGTGTGGCCCAGCGCAGGCCACGCCCCTGCCTACCCTGGCCTCCCGGCGCGTCAGAAAAAGCCGCAGGGCACTAAGGGATACCGAGTTCGCAGACCTAAGATTTAGTGCTAAAGACTATGAGCTTGAACTACAATTCCCAGGAAGCATCACTACGCAAGGACCGCAGGTGGTTTTGGGGGCGTGGGTAGCAAGCGCGCCTTGCGCGCAAAACCCTAAGGGAGTTGTAGTCCGTATCCCATTCCCTGCGCTGCGTGCGGCTCCTTTTCTAAGGGCAGTAAGAAAGCCCTGCGGCCTGATATTGAGGACAATCACCGGAGGCAAAGGGCTCATATCAGAATCAAACTGGGTTTGACCGCTCAGCGCGGATCCCAGACAACAAGTTAAAATTCAGGGCAGTTGACAACCTGCTGGCTCCACCTCTGCCTCAGTTTCTTCCCGACAGCCGGAGTGCTGTCGAGTGAGTCAGGGCAAAAGCCAGGGCGGAGGCAGATGGTAGTTATAGCATAATTAGAGCTGTTATTGTGACGATGATTATGCCACCCTTGCACCGTAGTCACTGCTTTATTACTTGCCTGGCACAGTCTGTGGGCTGGTTTTAACAGCCCCAGGCACCGCGGCCGCCAGACACGTGTCCAGAACCCATAAACCAGCCAGCTGCTTCAGGGGTTTGAGGATGCCTTCAGCAAGTATCTCTCCTCCCCTTTGTTTTGATGTTGAACCAATCCGGGAAAACCGAGTTTGATTTAAAATTAGTCCGGAGGAGGGGCCTGGCCCCCACTTGGGGCGGAGCTGGGATTCCAGACGCGTCAACCGCCAGGGGGCGGGGGAAATGGCCAGGAATAGAAACTTGTCCGAGGTCCCAGGGAATTGTTGACCTGCCTTTCTAGCCAAACAGTCTCTCCTGTCCTTTAGAACTCTGGAAGCGACATAAACCAGTGTACAAGGCACCAAAAGGGCAGAGTAGAGAAACAGAATTGCATGGCCAAGAGTCAGGACGCTAGGGTTCAAATCCCAGCTCCGTAGTTATCTTATGACTCACAGTGTGTCCACTCCCTTCTGCACAAACAACCAGGTGTTTATATATAGTCAAGGAATTAAACAGCTTTTGCCTCCAAAATTTTTTAGTTTTCCCCGGTAAACTAGGGACAACAATAGTCTTACCTCTGGTACACTCTGCAGGAGCTCAGGCCTGGTCGAGGCCATGTCTTCATAGGCCCACGTGGAAGGAGGTGGATCTATTGCACGTGCAGCTGCTGTCCACATTAGATAACTTCCACACCAACTAGACCAGAAGAACCATGATCTTAAAAAAGGCCTTGCAGGTCTAGTCAATGACGCGAGTCTCCAGGGAGGAAAAGCAGGTCTCCCTTCTGTATGCTATCCTGTATGGGTGAGGACAACCTTAGCCCAGCCCAGGACTACCAGGAAAACTGTTTTAGAGACTGAGACGAGAGAACTCAGAAATCACAAAGGATGGGAACTGAAAGGCAGAGATAACGCCAGGCAGCAGTGGCACACACCTTTAATCCCAGCACTTGGGAGGCAGAGGCAGGCAGATCTCTGTGAGTTCAAGACCAGCCTGGTCTACAAGAGCTAGTTCCAGAACAGGCTCCAAAGCTACAGAGAAACCCTATGTCTCAAAAAATCAAATAGAGACAGAGTGAGATGCCCCACCCACACCCATCCACTATCACACTATCACCACTGGCAGTCCTGGGCCTGAACAGCTGCACTCAACAGATAATGTTTGTAGCTGCTTAAATACCCATGGATCTTCTAGCAGTCCACTTTTCACACACAATTTCACCCCACCCATTCTAATACCCATATGAGATGATGGGGGATAACCCATTCTTGAACAAAATGACCTACCGACACAGAAGTGAAGGCTGACAGAGGAGCAGGTCAACAGGGCATCTGCCAGGAGAGCTCAGGGTCCTGGGGAGTGGAGATGATGTAAGTGACCAGTTTCCTGGACCAGTTGCTTATGAGGTGCCCATGATGTGGTTGGCTATCGGCTGTGTGTGTATATATACATACTGTTGTTACATACACATCACATGCAAATATTTTTCCTTGCTGGTAATGAGTCATTTGCTTTTATGCATAGTACCTCTGTGTGCACATGCATTTGGTGAATGGCACCTTTATATGCTCTGGCTTATTGCAACCCTTTTCCTCTGCTTTCTTGCTTTCCTATCATCCTTATGTAAACTTCATATGTTATTATGTAATATATTTTTGAGGAGATTTAAAAAATTTTTACACTTGGGGCTCTAAAGAGATGGCTCAGTAGTTAAGTGTTCTTGCTGTTCTTACAGACGCCCAGAGTTCAGTTCCCAGAATCAATGTTGGTTGAGTTACCACTGCCTTTAACTCCAACTCCAGGGGACCTGGTAGCCTCTTCACAAGATTACACTTATGTGCACAGTCCTAATTATAGATATACACATAATTAAAAATTACAGCTGTTAAAATTTTATATTTATTCTATGTGCACGGGTGTACACTATGATGTACACGTGGAGCTCAGAGGGCAACTTGCAGGAATCTATCATGCCCTATTATATGTGCTCTGGAATTAAATTCAGGTCACCAGACTTGGCAGCAAGTGCCTTTACCCACTAAGCCATCTTGCTGGCCTTTTGGTTT